ACTCTTTGGTAACAGTTTATCGGTTACAGAAAGATCCGGTCTTTTTATAAGATCCGGTTACAATGAAAATCAAAGAAAAATAAACAAAGATTACAACTTTCTCCTTTTGTGTCGAACGAATCGCGAGCTCCTGTTTTGCGGTCACTCGCTTTTGTGGGTTCTTTGCCTGCGCCGGGGTTTATCCGTGGACCACCGTGCGATCTATACCCGGTCGGATCTACGCAGTACGACGGGTATTATTTCACGAAGGAAATAATAGCCGGGGGGGATTGGTTCACCAAGAAAACAATCGCCCAAATCTCGGGATCAAAGGCCAAGCTTTGATCCGGAGTGTAATCGCGTAGATCTCAGATCCGATCCCCTCGAACTCTTGCCTTATTTGGCGTTGACGATCGCCGAGAACCAGATCTGGATGAGCAAGTCCTCGAAGTCCTAAAGTTTGAATCTTTTTTAGATCTGAGTCTTCAATCCAGTAGGGCTTCGCCTCCAAAAAATCCCCATGGCCTTGGCCGAGCCACCTATGGGTGGCTCGGTTTTGGCCGAGTCCCTTAGGTGTTGTTTTTTCTGTCTTTTCCCGTTTTTTGGTTCCGCCATGATTCGGTTGATTCAGACTCTGATTCGTTGATCTGATTTGGCAGTAAGTCCGATTCCTGTTTTGGCAGTAAATCCACTTCTGAGTTCGAGTCCGAAACCGATCTTGATTCGGTCGTGATTCATCCGAGTCCGCTCTTGTTTGGATGACTCGTTGACTCCCCGAACCGTTGGCTTGATTCCGCACGCGAATGGATGCATTCCGTTGCTCGCGTGCGATTTGTTGACCTCGTCGCCTCGTCACTCGATGGTTTGTCGAATCATCGCGCCGAGCTATGCCAAGGGACTTATAAGCATTTTTACATGCCTACACTTGTGTATAAGGTCTCTCAAATAAAATAATAATACAGTGTTCATTTAAGTCTAGAAAGTATTAAAATGGCAACCATCAACATGAGAATGAATACGAGGACGTAAGATAATTTGAGGGGTAGATTTAAAATTGGGTTAAATATTCATATTGGTATTTTAATTCCACCCCATTTATCAAGAATGTACTTTAATTATGCAAACATGCTTTAAGGCTTTTTAATTGATTCAACTTACCAACAACGCCATTTTTCTCGTCGGCGACCAGTTTTTAACTATCTCCTTCAACTGCCTTCTCCATGATTTCTCACTCTCTATTTCTCCCTCTCTCTCGCGTTCAAATTCTGAAAATAAAAGGGGCGAATCTGTCCTATTTTGGGTGAATTGGGATTTTTAGAGGGTTAATTCCTACATTTAAACATTGCCACGTCAGAAAATTCATGTCACATCAGCAGCTAAAAAACAATTTAAGTCATCGCGTGCCATGCACCTGACGAGCTCTCGCCGGAAAATTGGTCGCTGACGAGAAAAAGGGTCTTGTTGGTAAGTTGAATCAATTAAAATGCCTTAAAGCAGGTTTGTCTAATTAAAATATCTTCTTGATAAATGGGGTGGAATTAAAATACCAATATGGGTATTTAGCCTTTAAAATTGTAATGATTTGCAAAGCAACTTCAAAAGTAACTACAATTACGGGGGTAAATTAATATGAGGGAGGAAAACATGCATATTACTACCATTTTTACAACTTAACAACGGCATAATAAATTTAAGAATATAATTGTTACATGTTAATTGTAAATTGAAAATCTAAAAAATTTACTTACTCTCTTCTAATTAAGAACTACATAAACTATCTAACAATTTAATTAAGTATGATTTCTAAAATTTAATAAATAGTGATTGAAACAAGATATCTGAAAATGGGTCAAGAAAAGATAAATGTGAATAAGTTTTTGACAAAACAAGTAAAACTTGAGATGATAACAAAACACATAGACACCATGCAGTTTCATGCTTTGAAACTTATTATCTCTGAACCTGGGAAATTTTGTCAGATATTAGCCTTGGGTGAAACTAATGAGTCTATTTGAGTGTAATTAAGAGTGGAAAAAATCATTTGTCTCTATATGTCAAAATGAAACTACGGATTAACAGAGCTCTAAACCCTAAAGGGGAATACTAAAACTACTACTTGGGGGATTTGTGCAATTAACTTAAGCTTATTCACTGCTCATGTGAAAGGTTAAGGGGCTGTTTGGATCGGTAAAACGGAGGAAAGCTGTCAAAAATGTCAGCTATTTGGCAACTTTCCCCCAAAATCGCCTCTTATAGAGATGATTTCGGGGGAAAGCTGGCAAAAAGCTGATATTTTGGCAGCTTTCTCCCTCCTTTCCCCTTCCAAAAACCGGAACCAAACAGCCCCTAAGCGATTCGAATAATTTAGATGGCAATTATAGTATCCTTTAAATCATAAAACTGAACTAATCTCTAAGCTAAACTATTACTTAGAAGAATACATAAATTGTGTATTTTTCAGGGGCTAGGCCGATAAAATCTCTCTTTCCCCCAAAGCAGCCGGATTTTTCAAGATATTCTTCTTTAATTACTGCAGCGACAAAAAAGGCCCCCACTACCTAATTTCCATTAGTTTTATCTCCCCCCGACGTGTCCTTTTAAGATATTTTTATATCCGTCCGGGTACTTATACCTATAAAATAACCCAGATATTTGCACCCGCAGTGGACACTGGATGAGGTGGGGCGTCGTATACCGCCAAATTCTGACCCCCCTGCTTTCTCACTCTGCACCCACGAATTCACCCCAAGATTTAAAAATAAATAAAAATTGTTGGGGGCACCCTATGAAAAATCACAGAGAGAAAAAAAAAGTATTAATTTAATATTTCATCTTTTGCTATTTTTTAGTATTTATTTACTTATTTACTATTATGCCATTTTCGTCAATTTTCTGTATTGGTCTTGTATGCTTATTGTATTGATTTAAAACTATTAAAAAATATGTCATGTTGTCAGTATATGCTTTTGTATATGAGATTTTATGGTAATCACTGTGGGTGACTCCAGAAGGTTAGGAGGTTCTAATATGACTATCATGTCTTAGGTTCGATTTCAAAGTGGATGATAAAAAAAAAGGTTTTTACATGTTAATGTAAGTTTCCCTATAGATTGACCTCTTTTCTTTTACATATGCATATACTGGTATATCCACCAATATAGCTAAGCAATTAGCATAGACTAATGTTTTATCTTTTGCTCTTTTTTTAGTATTTATTTACTTATTTACCGTCATGCCATTTTTTGTCAATTTGCTGTATTGATCTTGTATGCTTATTGTATTGATTTAAAACTATTAAAAAGCATGTCCTATTGTCATTACTTAGTATATGCTTTTGTATATAAGATTTCGTGGCAATTGCTACGGGTGACTCCGGAAGGTTATGAGGTTCTAATATGACTTCCATGTCTTGGGTTCGATTCCAAAGTGGATGATAAAAAAAAGGTTTTTACAGGTTGATGTAAGTTTCCCTATAGATTGACCTCTTTTCTTTTATCCATAATTGACACGAATGTTTTCTCGTATTAGTCCATTATTACATCTTTAATATTTTGATATTAGCTCCTTAAATCGTTGAAATGTATATATGCCTCTTTTTTCTTAGAAATTGTTTCAAAGTCTGTCCTCAAAACATTATTATAACCAAATTATAAGTTACTAAGTTTATTTAAAAAAATAATGCTAGGGGCACACCCTCTACCACACCACCAACCACACCCCCCTCTCCTAGCGCTACAGTAAACCGGGACCCACATGGGATTTTAAATTTTTAAAATCCCATGTGGGTCCCGGTTTACTGTAGCGCTAGGAGAGGGGGGTGTGGTTGGTGTTGTGGTAGGGGGGGTGCCCCTAACCACTCATTTCAAAAACCCAAAGGACTAAGTTCAAAATTTTAAAGAGGGACCACCATGCAAACAAAAATCTTTAAAAGTGATGTGAATACCTGGGTGCGGAAATAATTTCGGTGCGGGTGGGTCGGCTCTTTTATCCAAAATTTGACGCGCATGACTCCAATAATGCACACGTGGCGGCGAAGAAGCCTTGCTTTGAGCAGTCGTGTCTTTGTTTCTCCCCACCTTCAAAGCAACGAACAGAGGGGGAAGAGAGAGAGAGAGAAAGAGTAAAGAGAGAGAAATTTAGGGTTTTTTGGGGGGAGAGAGAGAGAAAGTTTGGGGTTTTTATTGTTATATATTTTTTGTTGGGGGGAATTTGAATGATTTGTGCTGGCCATGGTCCTGGCGCCGATGAGGAAGTCGTTCAAGGATTCGCTGAAAGTTCTAGAAGCTGACATCCAGCACGCTAACACACTGTGAGTTGAGCTTTTTGATCCCCGATCAAAGAGAAATTTTGATCTTCTTCTGTTTCATATTTGGAAATTGAAGGCTTTAGTCATAACTTTCGAGTTTTTTGGGTGTAATTTTGTTTGATTTTGGGCAAGGTTTGTTATTGTGAGCATTTGATTGGGTTCTCCCCCCTAATTGTTGGGTGTTCGCCTTTGGTTAATGATCTAGTTTTCAGACGAGCAGTTAGTTTGAAAGTAGGTGCAATTTTGGGGGATTTTTTTTTATAACATATAGTTAAAAAATTAAGTTTCTTTGTGGCTCAAAGCTATAGTTTCTGTTGATGTGAATTTTTTATTGTAAAAGTTATTATGATTGTGCCATTGATGGTTGCTTATCTGTAACTCTATTGCAGTCGAGTATTTTGCGGGGGATTAATCAATGTGTGGGGATTGAATGCAGGTGCAGAATGTCAAATGTGATAGATTAGTGAGATCCACCAACAAGTTCACAGTTTCATAGTGCTGAGAATTGCTGGATTAGCAAAATTTGGTGATAGGTTAATGGTAGGGTTATCAAATATTAGTAATGTGAGAATGTCTAAAAGGAGAATGCTCTGTTCTAGGAGTTATGGGCTATTGTTGTTTCTTCAAGAAAATGGTTTTAACTTTAGAGCCCCCGTTTTACATTTTTTTCCCTTTGTTTTCTGGCTGATTCTATGTTAGTTGAATGCGTCAGCAATTGTCTTCTCTTTTCGAGAAAAAGCAGTTCTCTTTTCCTGGGCTTGAATGAAAGTGTGAGAACTCAAAGTTATGTTTTCCTAAAGGGTAAAAAAAACAAAAGGAATGAATTGGATTTTGTTGTTTGCATTTCATATCATGATATTGCTTATTCTTTATTTTACTGTGTTGTGTCTCTTAATATTGCTATTTCTTTATTCTGATGTGCAGAGCTTCAGAATTTTCACGGGAGTATGATGGTGCTTGTCTTCAAATGCGCATGTCATATAGCCCAGCTGCCCACATCTTTCTTTTTCTGGTTCAGTGGACAGACTGTAGCCTTGCAGGCGCTCTTGGTTTGCTCAGAATCTTAATATATAAGGTTAATGTCTTCTCAATTCCTTATGATTACCACTTCCTTCTGCTGTGGAATAATACATTATCATTGTGCAGGTTTATGTCGATGGAACAACGACTATGTCAACTCATGAAAGGAAAGCAAGTATCAAGGAATTTTATGGTGAGTAAATTAGCTTGCATTCAGTTAGGAAGTTCTGCGAGGATTCTTAAATTCTTAGATGCAGAATTTTCGTGTTCATGTCAGCTGTGATTTTTCCCTCCCTGATGCAACTGCACAAGGGGATAACTGATATGGAAGATAAAAAGCAAAAAGCAGTGTGTATGGAAAGATACAGAAGGAGAGATGATGAGGACAGGAGAACGTTCTCAGAGATAGATGTCGAGAGAGAGGAGGAATGTGGGATCTGCATGGAAATGAATAGCAAGATTGTGCTACCCAACTGCAGCCATGCCATGTGCATGAAATGCTACCGTGAATGGTATAAATCTTCTCATTGCTGAAAATTCTAATCTAGCTTTCCAGTTTTGTTATCTTTTCTTCAAGGAGTAGTTATTCTTTATCAATGGATTTTTTTTCTTAAACAACTGGTAATGGTAAAACCTTCTTCCGTGTTGTCTTTTTTTTCTGGCACTCTGCATCATTATGCAGTGTGAGTGTGTCAGTATATGCTAGTTGGATGCCATTTTATTTTAGCTAATGGCATACTTTGATATATTTAATTTTATATTCAATTGTTGTGAGATTACAGCCAGAAATTTAGATTAATAATTTATTATTCATCAGTGGAACAATGTTGTGAAACATATGCCCTCATGTGTAATCGAATCATATGCTGCATTATTAAATTGTGAGGAAATATGCTTGTGTGTAGATTTTAAATATTTAAGAGTTCCTGTAAATTTTAAATATTTGAAATTTCCGATGAATATGAACAATTGGAAATATGATAAATTTTTTAAAGGTCTAAAACCCTGGTATATTATGATTTTTAGCATTATCTTTGTAAGGGATTAACCATAGCTGACTTAAATTTTATACAAAAAAAAAATCTTAAACCAATATCAGTAACGAACTATGTTACCCGTGTACTTCATTATTGAAGCCGTACCTGTACCGGAGACGTACCCGACACTTTCCCGTACCCAAACTTCATGGACTCTTCTTGAATATATGCATGCATTTATTACAACATGTACTCAATTAGACGATATATGTGTTAATTTAAAAACTTCTTGAATATATGCATGCATTTATTACAACATGTACTCAATTAGACGATATATGTGTTAATTTAAAACACTTGTCAAAGTACTCAATTAGACGATATATGTGTTAATTTAAAACACTTGTCAAAGACTTCCTGGACGTAGAGCTTACATTTCACATCTGTCTTTTGAAACTAATGGGATATGGGTCGGGTTCGTTTTAGTCCATACCCAAGTTCAAAACTATATAGTTAATGAGTCGTTTAGATGTCTAGTAAAAAAATGAGTAGTTTATGTATGTATGTATGTATGTAGTTGTGTCCCCGTACCCAACATTTTACAGTTTTGCCGTGTCCCCTACCCGTGCCCGTTTCCATGCAACTTAGGTAACGAATTAAAAAGAAAAGTTATCATCAGAACTTACCTCTTTGCTCATGTTGCAACTAGTGGAATGCTAAGTTTTGGTTCTATGGTTGTGAATTAGTTCTTGAGAGATGATTGGAAGTCTTCAGATGCAAGAGAGTCAAAGAATAATGAGAAAGATTGGAACCGTGGAGATGTCAGAACTTTGAGAGAGTCCAATGGTATTTATAAGGCTCTTACACAGATGAACAGGAGGAGAGTTATCAAGAACTCTTGCAAAGAAACAGAAAAAGTCATCCACACTTCTTTGGTTAGCTTCTTGTTTTGTCTACTTTTTTCTTCCTAAAGCCTGTCTCCGCCCTCCCATCCCAAAACAGGAAAATAAAAAGAGACAAAGGTAAAATGAAACTAAGAAGGAAGAAACATGCAAACTAACTAATAAACAAACAAAAAGTCTCCCATTCCCTTCAGCAGCACTCAACAGCTCACAGCCACTGAGAACACTTTTTGCCATAACTTCAGTTTCTGATTCACTCTTTATAGAACCCTATTATCTGAAACAGACAAGCTATGGGATTGACTGAAAATCTTACTACCAGTTTTCAACCAATTGCATCTCGTTAGTAGCCCTGGCGGAATTCCCATTGAAAATTTGAGCAAGTAGATAGACTTACCTTTTTGGTTAGATAAAAATCATAGGTAATCGCTTCCCTATAAACGAAAATAAGCTCAAGAACTTGTTGGAGTCGCATTTTCCATTCCGTAAACTACTGCTGAAGAGCTTATAGTTGTATACGTAGCTAGTGAAGCTGAAGGGGAAATTCTTCACAAATGAAAGATTTATTCTTACAGGTAACAGAACTATTGTTTTCACTAATTCAAATTGAATATATTATCGTTAATCCATCAAAAAATATATATTATTGTTAATATCTGACTATCCTAGATATGGAACACATTGCTGCCGATTTATTTTCCTTCTCTGTTTGCGTACTGCATATCCATTTAGTTCACCTCAAGTGTCTGCTTATCACCTTCTCTGTTTGCGTACTGCATATCCATTTAGTTCACCTCAAGTGTCTGCTTATCAGATGGAAGCTTCACTCACGTCGATTAAATCTTTTATAACATTGCTCTGTATCTTTTTCCTGCCATTTTAATATTACAACAGAGAACCAGAGACTGGCCTCTATAAATTCACATGCAAGTTACAACTCATGTTGGATTACTAGATGACTACGCAATTTATACCTGGCAATATGTTCCACGCCCTGCAATAGTCGGGTTGCACTAGCTAAAAACAATGATACATTAGTTCGCTTAGATTTTTGTTTATTTTCTACTGATTTTACCAGGCATTGAATGTTCAAACTTTTGTTCTGTACACATAATTTCGATAGAAAAATAACTTGCACTTCTCCTTTATGCTGGTGTATATTGACTTAAGACTGTTTCAATCTAGCCAAAAGAATCCATTTGTGACGATTGGTTATATAGTATACTCTTTCAGAATGTTGCATAAAATCACAAGCGTAAAATCATTGATTGATCACTGAATTTGTCCATTTCAGGCATTCAAGATCACAATCATGCCCGTTCTGCCGAGATAGCCTCAAAAGGGTAAACTCTGGTGATTTATGGGTATTCACCGACAGCAGAGACATTGTCGACATGTCGACAGTGTCAAGAGAAAACCTGCGGCGCCTCTTCATGTACATAGATAAGCTACCTCTCATCGTTCCGGATTCCGTGTTCGATTCCTATGATTCTCATGTCAAGTGATAACATATAATATCATCATCAAATCATCATATGATCATTCTTTCAGTTAAGTGGCAGTATAGCTCTGGCTGATTGATTTATGTTGACCTCTGATTTTTATTTGGGGAATGACATTATGGGTCTGTATATTTGTGGTAGGGTTGTTGTAAATACCTGTATAGTTTTATGAAATTTCTGTGGCTGGATGCTAGCGAACCGAAACTCTCTGTTAACTTGCTAAATGTATAGATGTAGGATTTATTTACCTGGGTTGGTTCTCTGTATGGTTTCTGTTCTCTCAACGAATCTCTACTTCTTTTAACTACTTGTAGTTAAGTTTGAATGCGATGCCGGAAATTATTCTGATAAATTTGCTTTTTTGGTTGGTAATGCGGAAATTTTTGATTTTGATTGCCTACTGAAGTCCTGACTTCTGAACTAATTACATTGTGCTTCGAAGATGTTACATCAGGTGATATCAAGAGTACGGCCCAAAATCTAATATTTTCTAATTTCCTCTCCGGATCTCCAATATTGGCATTTCCTTGTGGTGATACTCTTGATTAAATTAGTTAATTTGATTAATTTATTGATTGAGGTGTGTTAGTGATAGTGGAAACTAGTTAGGAACAGAAAATAGGCATGCGATTTGAGGTGTATACATGCAAAAAGGTCCAAAAAGAAAAAAAAAAGAATTTTCTTATTTAACTTTGGACGATAAAAGCGAAAAGATGGGAAGTCTACGTGAGATCCATTTTCTCCATGTTTGTTTGGTTTGCGTGTGCCTTTCTGGTGTAAAGTGAATATCACCTTCCATTTTCTTATTTCTTTCTGAGGTTAGAAATTAAAGATACACGTATATTTCAATCGCTCTCGATCTAAACTTTAGTACCCAATTAAGTCAAATGGATGCATCTTTATTAACTAAGTTGAGTTTTCAAGCTACAGCCCAACTAACACCAAGATGGGGTTAGAAAAATCTGTATAAATTTACGATGGTTATGTTGAAGAATTTATAAACTTTTTTTTATTTAACTGTAAATAAATTACTACATCAAGAGAGGGGAGCAAATTTTCTTTCTCAAGCGAGCATTAAACAGCTTGAATCGATCAAACCAGATGATTCGGTTTTAAAATATGTTTGTATTGCTCTTCGATCGTTCTCTTGCCTCTCTTGTTAATCTTTTTTTTTTTCGCTGGATTCAGATGTTCCCATCTCTCCTCCTCTCAATCTTTTCGTTGCTCCAGTGGGGTTTTTTCCACAACTAGTTGAGATGCACGTGCAATACACGTGGTTAAATATGATGATGATTTAAATTGAAAAAAAATGAATAAAAATAAAAAAGAGAACAAACTTTTTGTGGGATTGATCATCAACTCAATAATCACTCTCTCTCTCAAATAAACTATTGTTATTATTTCCTTCAACTCAGACCGTGGCCACGTGATCTACTATTTGTGAGTTATAAACACATTAATTTAGCACAACATCTCCCTTTATTATTATCTTGAAGTCTTCAAAAGATGTGTGATCAATCATTTTGCAAAGGAATTTTACATATGAATTTACTTGCAATATGTCCATTAAACTTTTAGTTGTAGTTTAACTCATATTCACATTAACGTTTAGTTGTAATTTCACTCATATCTATATTATCTAATATTCTCATTCAATTTTATAGCCCATTCTCCTTATTATAGAAGTAAAATTGAAAGTATAAAGAATTATTTTCTTGCGAAATTAGAACAGTGAGATTATAATATATTTCATCATGTGCCCTGAATATAAAAATTTCTTTTTTTTCTTTGATGCAAGGTCTCTCTCAAATCTTGTCGCAAAAGATGTGAATAAAAAATACTATTATAACTCACTTGTCTAGGGTAATTGTAGTATATATATGACATATAACTTATCTGGAATATTCATATTTGCTAAATGGATTTTGCGATCTTGTGAGAGCAAAATATTAGATGCTCGTATTCAAACTTTTTGACTCTATAAAAGACATAAGAATTTAGAGTACATAGCTTATATATCGTAAAAAACATACTGGTTCACGAAGAATTTTCCTAATAATGATATTATTACAATGATATTACTATTTAGTATTAAATTAATTTTATTATATAAGATTATATGACTATAAAGTATATATATGGAAACCTCGATGCGTATAGCCAATAGTTAGGCTCCACAAAACAGGTTAACTTTACATTATAGTTTGCTATTAGTAGTATTATTGGAAATATCATTACCTTTCCTCTTTATCATATTATTCATATTTTTCTGATGTAAGTTCTCTTTTGCTAATTACTCAATTGGTTATATTTAGTTTTTATAATATCAGAGGTTAGAATATTCTCTTCTGTTTAAAAAATATTGATATTTTTTTTAAATATATACATATAGTAGCAATAGTATATACTTCAGTTCAACTCAAATATTAGTTTGAAGCCATTTAGAGTGAGGTCCTTTCTACGCTAGAATGGTGATATATTGATTACACAATCCAAAAATCAAAGAAGAAATTTCTAAAAAAAAGTAATTTAATATATTAAATTAATAGCTAATTTATAAAATATACATGGGCAATGCAGATAGCTATATATAAGTAATGTATATATATTCATGGAAATTTCATAGTGAGTGACCAACTACAATCATCCTAATTTAAGTCTAAGTAATTATTATTTTAGTTACTAATTTAACACACGTAACTATGGAATAAATCTCAAGCAAAAAATATGAATGAGATTGTATTGTCCTCTAGGTAAATAAATAAATGTTATTAGAGCTCCTCTTTATATTCAATTTAGAAGTAATAATTTAAATTTTTAAGCGCCAAATATTAGTTCAAGTAAGAAAGTAAAGTAATCTATGGTCTATACCTATATAGTCAATCAATCAAATGTATTAAAATTATATGGTAGATTCACATTATATATAATTTATAAAAAATAATACATTAAAGTCAAAATCCTTTTAACCACTATATAGATTGTTTGAAAATTTTGAATATATAAACTATATTGTCTAGGAATGGTGATGTACGCATTTAACTAGGCGTAATACATCTTAAGAATGACTTACTCGTTAATATCATCATTAATTGACGTAGCTATGCATTACATTAAAAACACAATGAAATTTTAAAAAACTACAAAAGAAACACCCTCAAAAGTTTTAAAAATTATAAAAAACACCCTAAAATTTTGGTAATTTATAAATACACAAAACTATTAAACATTACATTGAAATCAAGGAATTGCAAAAAATCATTGAAAATTTTCAAACTTTGGAGGGGTAATTTACAATGTACTAAACTTTAAGGTTTTTTTTGTAAATTTCAAATTTAATATATTTTCAAGTAGTTATGTTCTTTTCAAAAACGTTATAGGTAATATTAACCATGAAAAGTTTTTTCTAAACCTATACTTTTAAAGGGAGTATGTCATTTTTTGCAAATTTTTAATTTTCTGGTGGTGGTTAATAATTTTGTATATTCATTTTAGTGTCTATAAGTTAGAAATTCTAATGGTGTATTTTTGTAAATTATGAATTTTAGGGGGTTTTTGTAACTTTTTTAAACTTATAGGCCTTTTTTTATACATTATAAATTGTTTATAGACTATTTATAATTCATATGTTTTCAATTTACTATTGAGTTAGAAATTCTCAGGGTGTTTTTTATAAATTTGGAATTTTTAGTGTTCATTTGTAATTTTTGAAACTTTAGAGGTTTTTTCTATAAATTATAAATTATGTAGGGGATATTTGTAGTTCTCTATAAACTGCAATAAGTAAATGATTTAATTATATCAAACGTATCTCCTTTATCTAGTAACATGTTAAGTCTTATTATGAATATGATAAAACATTTAATTACCAATTCAAAGATGATAGGATAATTAGAATAGGTTAGGATAACATTATAACATCTAAAGAAGTTAAAGATAATATTGACCATGAAAAGATTTTTCCGAACTCATACTTTTAAAGGGAGTATGATCTTTTAGTCTACATCTTTTTTTTCATTAATTTCTCAGTCTACATCTTTCGTTCGGATTTTATTTCTCAATTAACTAACTTGCATCAAATATTATTCTGTTCTGTTCTAAATTAAGAACAAATGGATATAATTCAATCAAAGTTTATTAAAACCGTCCAAACTAATCGTCTGCCCACCTCTACCTCCCATATATATTATAACTAGGTGGAATGCACGTGCAATGCACGTGGTCAAATATTATAATTGTTGACTTTTAGTTTATGTATTTACTATAACGTAGTTGCAAAAAAGTTTATGATTATCATAGTATATTAAAAAGTTTCAAATATTTCAATATATAAAATATTGTTGGTTTCAACACTTTATCTTCCACATAATTAGTGATGTTTAAAGTCTTAAATATTAATGATCTAAGAGCAATTTAATGATTTGGAATTCTACTTTAAAAATATTAATAGTGTAAGCACCAATATCTAAAAAACTATTATTATTAATAAAAAATAAATCTTGAATTCATCAACATAAATGGTAGATTTTATCTGGTTATAGAAGATTTTGTTTAATTATAAAGAAATCACTCGCACCTATTGTCTACTTTCACTTTCTACTATCTAGCGACCAAGTATTATAGGTATTAAAAAACTTTTTTCTAGAATTTTTAAATTTAGAATGTGCAAATTCAATCAAGAAAGAAAACATAAATTATGTGACCAATTCTAAAATTTGATATAATAATCTTCCTACATTTTCTCAACTAATTAATTTATTTACCAAAACGATTACTCTCTAATTTTAGAAAACTATAAAATATAATATGAGAATGATTTAAACATATTTTGTACACATATGGATTGTATTTTAACAAAATAATTTAAATCTATCTAATATTGAATAATATCCAAAAATTTAGGCTAAAGAGTTAAGAGAATCTAATAACAATCATATCCAAACTATATGTTTCATAAAGGCGAGACATATAAAATGAACAACTTAATTTATTTTGTTAAATAATTTATTACAAATCATAAAATATAAAGAGAATCATAATGATCACATAGCTATCCCAAATAAAGATTAAATTTCTCTCTGTGAATTTTGTAGCAAAAGATTTTCAAAGATACTGATAGACTTTCTATAAAATCCACTCTTATAAGATTCATGTCATATGCGTCTTAAATTGTTCTTTGTTTAAGGGTTAATTTTCGAAAACTTCCCCTCAACTATGAGGGAGATGTTAAAAAATCCCCCCCTCCCCTTCAAGTGCTTAAAATGAGTAGATCTTTGTTCGTCAAATTTGGGTTATTGTAGTTAATCTATCTCAACTTCAAAATTTTGTTTTGATTTAACCCCAT